GGTGGTATCCGAGGGGATTTACGCACGGGAAAAAAAAAGTCATGTTTAGCCATTGTGGCATACAAATATATTATAAGCATTAAGTACAATCATCCCTAAATTTTGGTATGCAATTCAGAATGAATTGATTATTATCATTATTCATTATATTCATGGCATTAATTTATATTATTCATTATACAATTATTAAAAATTATCAAATTATTTTACATTATTATTTACTACAATACTTTTAGATTGGTAAGTCCTTAAATTAACAAGCAATACCAGTGGAGCAGTAGATCAGTTATCAATTTTATCATGTAGGAACTCATCAATATCATAATAAGCTTTATCTGCTAGGAATTTCTTTCATTTTTTTTTTAATATTTCATTGTTTTGTTCTTTCCAAAGTCTAGGAATATTATTATAGATTTTTGGGGCCATACAAAATGTACTATTATGCATTAGAGCAGTTTCTGATGTATGTAGGCAAAGTTTGCTATTCTTGCGTCTATTGCGGTTAACTACGTTAGACAGTCGTGGAAATAAATTAGGATTTGTTTTTACAAATACTGCGTTTTAAAAGATATAGAGGGAAGGCAGTGTTAAGAATTCATTTTTTTTTAAATATGGTTTACAACTGTCAGTAACTCTCAATTTGAACATAGTCCTTAAGCAGCGCTTCTGGGCTTTAAATACTCGTTCCTTATTAATAGAATTGATATTATATTTAACATCCAACGTGGTGTTTCTTTGAAAACAATTTAAATTTAAAAATTTTAATTATACCATACCTATTATATGATTTCATAAGCCATCCTTTTATACTCATTGTTTCTACAAAACAATATCGATGTTTCACGTTTGCCAGACGGTCCCGTGACGGCTCATTTTCTTACTTGGTTTACGTTAGACCTAAGTAACAAGCGGTAACTTGGGAAATAAAACATGTATGTAATCATAACAATTTATTCAATATTAAATTACAAAATAGTACGGTATCAATCACAATATAAGAGAAACGTTAGGAACCTTAATATATAACCAAAAACACGTTTATTATTTGTTAGATGTAAGAGTTCCGTTTAAACAATTACGTAGTCCATTACATTACAGTTATATAAATATGTTCCTCGCTAAATTTAAATAATAATAGTCCATAAATATCTACTCATGAGATAGTTGTAACATTTGACCAAAATCTACGAGTACATTTATTAATTTTAAGTTCAATTTGCTAATAAAGCAGGATTTTAATTTGTAACATCTCTCCTCTCACTTGCCTGCGATCTGTATCAGTGATTTCGTGAAAAGGGACGGAAGTGCGTAACAGGAAGATGAAGTCATTTTGACTATTGTACATTCGCGTTAAGAAAATAGTAACGCATCGATCGTTTCGTACGAAAGCTTGGAAAGTGATTGGTTGATCGATACGTCACTATTTTCTTAACGCAAATAAGCTATAGAGTGATACAGTTCGCCGACAGATGTCAGGTGAGATATCAGATGTGTGAATCATATGGGACTACTAAAGCGAGCGATCGAGGACTATTTTCTGAGCTGTCTCGTGTCATTAGTCCTCGATTCGTGAGCAAATTTTCAAAGACGTCGGACGTCAAGCTAATAAAGCGTGGTAAACAGTAGGCTAGTTAAAATGGTAACTGTAGATACCTCCAATCGGCTTAAACGTAAACATGACTGATACGCAAACGATAACATTTTGGTTGCGTTTTTACCATGAAGGCAATATATATAGACTATTCTCGTACTACAGGAAAAATGGGTCACCCGTGGAAGTCACCTAATAGACAGTACCACTACCATAGTCGCAATAGTAGGGGAGCCCTAGAAGGGATTTCGAGATTTACTCAAGCGTGTCAAATTTTTATAGATTTCCTAATATTTTTTTATAGATTTCCTCCCCTTACATTTTTGAAAACCTGTAGAAGCTTTTCACACCGCTGAAAGTGGAAACATTATATTACTTTCATTTCCCCATGCTTGAGTAAATCATAAGCTCCCCTACTAGAAGCATGGCTTCCCTACTAGAAGCATGGCTCCCCTACTAGAAGCATGGCTCCCCTACTAGAAGCATGGCTCCCCTACTAGAAGCATGGCTCCCCTACTAGAAGCATGGCTCCCCTACTAGAAGCATGGCTCCCCTACTAGAAGCATGGCTCCCCTACTATTTTTACTTGAGCATATTTGTTTAATTATTTATTATACTAACTAGTAGTAACATTGGTACTTCTTTCCGTTAATTCTTTTTTTTTTTTAACGCAAAATAAGCGACAAATATTTATTTACCATATATTTAAATATATAAAACAAATTATATTTCAACAATAAAACACTTAACGATAAGTCACTAGTTTTCATTTTGCGTTTCATGAACTTTACATATTTTAGAGTAACGGGAAAGAAGGTCACGTCGTTAATCTGTTAGAAAGAGAAGTGATATACGACGTAAACTAAGCAAAAGGAGTAGAGAGAACAATACCTCAGTATGCGTGATGGTACTTTGCTAGCTAGCTTATTTTATATTTTTTACTATTTTATATATTGCTGTTGCTGTTGCTGGGGTTTTGCCTATGCTTATGTGTATGGTCACAGCTCTGATTCTAAGGTTCGTAACGTTATGTTAGATAGCCTTATTGGGGATAGCGAGTTTACTTTAAGCCTGGGTTGGCTTAGAGCGATGCTGACTTTTGCTGACAAGCAGGAGGAAGAAGTTAAAAGGGACTAAGCCCCTCTGTTCACGTAATATTCAAAGACCTCATACATAGGTCCCTAAAAGTACTGAATACTTAGCTCCGTTTAATTTTCGTTTTCTTTATGGAACAGAATTTAAATATGTCTTTACATCTCTCATGTTCGGTAAGTAGGTTCTTATTACCTCCAAATGGGGCTTGTAAGTGACTAATTAGTGCTCTAGGGTAATAATGTAGCTAGAAAAGCCCTAGGGCGGTAAGTAATTAAAAAAAAAACTTCTTTATTTCAAAAAGTTTGCGTACATCTAACCATCATACTGGCAATAGACATCATGCATTGAGCCCAATGACCAAAGAGGTCGCTTTGCTATTCAGCCTTGTCTTCGTGTGAGTATAATAGTCATCAATTTTAAATATCGAACGGCGAAGCTCAATTTCGATCTTGAAAAAAAAACTTAAAAAGTTCTTTACTCGATTCTTTTTAATGAAAAAAGGCGGGAATAGAAAACTTTTACATTAATGTTTTATTCTTGTAATGCCGGTTTTTTTCTACTTACCTCACAATCGAGATGTAAAGCAGAATAGTTAGATCGGGTGTAAGCATCAATTGCACCCTCGAACTATAGGCGCCCCCGCTGCGCTCGTGTGCCTAAATATCTCGGGCTGCAATTGATGCCTTACAGCCCTTGGCTACTAATCTACTATTACGTAAGCTCTAGCCTATCAAATCGTTCATATTATTTAAGTGTTATGGTTGAACATGTTTAACGTTTTAATAAATAATTATTACGTGAAAAACAAATAACTACGGTGTTATTTTAACGTAGTTAGCGTTACAACTAATTAATGTATCAGTCAGTTTAAAGTTATCACACAAATTTTTGTTTGTTATAAATAAAATCACATTTTAATAATGTCAGTCTTTTTTTTTATCACAACTTCCGATACAGTGACTTGTAAGTCAAATGCAAACTGGTCGAAATCTAAGTCGATTTATGTTACTGTGTAAGGTACATTATATGTACACTATGTCGTATCATGCAGAATGTCGTTGTTTTAACTGGTTCCGCCGTGTTCGTTTCCGTTCAGGTGTAATCGAATGTAATGCCGACAGCGCGCTTTTGTTCCCGATTTATATTAGAGAGGGCAGACGAGCAGACGGGTCACCTGGTGGAAAGTGACCATCGCCGCCCATGAAAGTCCGCAACTCAGGAGTCAAAAACGCGTTGCTGGCCTTTTAGCAAGGAGTAAGCTCTTTTCTTTTTGAAGGTCGCAAACTTTAAATTCTATATACCTAACTCATATTTTCAATGTTGTAGATTTGCTGCGCGAGGAAACATCCCTGTGTTACTTTTGAACAGCCGAACAAAATAAAATAAATTCTATTTAGGAAGTAGGTCAATTAAATTTATCTCTATGATTTATCAGTTAACTAACAACTCAGCTGTACGGGTATGTCAGGAGGGGGTAATCTCAGGAAGGGGGCATCTACATGCCGTGGATGGCCCGAGGTACGTCAGGGTACCAGGGATTTACTTTCTGTGGTACACCTGGTTCTCCAGCTACTGGTATCCGAGGGCGTGCGGTTTTTGGTCGGTTCGAGTCCGACATAACCACCCCACCCGTGGGTATTTCTGCACATATGAAAAAAAGTGTACGAATATGTAATAACCTTTCGGCTGCTATCGCAACTGAGTTTTACAATCAGTTGTCTATGATAGAGGTTTTAAACATAAATATAAAATAATGTGTTTAGATTAGAATTATTAAAATGTTGCGTAAAATAATATTTAAAAAGAAAAAGTTTTTCTATCACAACCGCTTGCCATGAAAGAATAAAAAATCTCTATAGACAAGTAATTTGAAATATAATTGCGATGACGGCGATTTTTGTTTATTGACTAACTAGTGTATCAAGAATTATTATTCTTCCATCATAATTGGAAAGGGTTGTTGTGAAAGACTAAAAAAATGATCGTATACAATTGGTGTGAAATACGGTACAAGAGCAAAATGACAAACGATGTTGTGTTATAAAAGTAAAAATCGATATTTGAGTAGTTTGTACGTTTTTGATATGTGCCCTTTTGACAGGTACGTTTTTGACATGTGGCTCCTGATTTTATGCTTTTTGACAATATGATCCGCTGTCATTTTGCTCTTTGACCATATGCTTCAAAACGTGTACTCGTAGTACGTATCGATCACGTTAATCTCTATAAGGAAACAAAATTACGAATGCTTACCGAGAACAAGTAACGATTTGGAAAGGTTCAAATATCAAAGAGTTAGTTTACTGACAAGAAGTCAGTATTCCCTGAGCACCCTGCACTGCGCGTTGCACTTGGGGCGGCGCTTGGGCTCGGGGGCGTGCGCGAGCGCGTCTATGTCGAGGTGGCGCAGGTCGGGGCGGGTGGCGGCGCCGGCGCTGAGCGCGGGCAGGTCGGCGCGCTGCAGCACGCCCGCCTGCAGGTAGCCCAGCAGCGCCGGCGCGTGCTCCTCCACCATGCGCTGCCGCTCGCCCGACACCTCCGCGCGCCTGCCACAAAAGCCGACGTTACATATTGTGCCTAAAAGCCTGCCGTAAGCCCACACACAGCTTTAAACAGAAATAGCCTATCCCTATGATGCGAACCAATTCTGTACCCCCAGCCCGACAGTTGTATCCCGACAGCCGACAGCCGTATCCCCAGCCCGACAGATACATGTAAATCACACTAAAAGTTTTTAGAATAGGAAAAAAGCAGCCGATAATCTGTAATGTTTAATGATTTCACTACGAATAATAATTTCTACAGAACAAGAACTCATAATTATCACTTTAATGTAAGTTCCATCCATTACGCACACCTAACAACAAGAACGTAACACTTAAATTCGCTCATAAACAAACCTTCACGCAATAGGGAATATGCACGCGACACCAAAATAGACAAAATATTTTTATTTGTAATTTTTATTGCTAAAAAAGGATACCCATACAATTATTTTTGAAATTTATTATAATTTAATAGTGAAATTTAATCATCAAAAATTGGCTTTTTTAAGATTCCCTCACAAATTTCTAAAACGCAACGCTATTGGTTGAATAAAACGTGACGTCAACCTACACTGTCAAGAGTGTCAATAAGTTTGGGACTAATCCCACCCACACGCCCACCACTGTAACTTCTGTACACCAGGATCCACAGCAGTGACCCACGAACACACCGAGTTATGACACTCGGGAAGTCCCAGAAATTAAACTGTCTTGGAACCCGCAACGAAATTAATCAGAAGAAAATTGGAGGAGTTGGAAATACAGTAAATCCACTTCCCTCCTTAGCAAAGCGGGAGACAAAATGAAGTAAAATGGGCATACACCCTTTTAAACAGGGAAGCACCACGGCCACAAATATTACGGGTCCTACGTGAGCTATGTTTGATTTCTATAATATGTATGGCAGAATCGCCTAAACGCACGGAAATTCACCTTAGTTGACACAAGATCCCCATAGTATACCGCCCCAGATGTCACCTGCAAGCTATTCAGCATCACATTACGTTCAATATACCAAAGACCCATATTCCCAGAGGATATGATGAGCAGACTGTTCATAGTGAGAGTTAGGTGTTGAGCATTGACACAGTGGTGACTCGACTAATTTAAATGAATAAAGCTTGCTCTTAAAGTTACCATGACCCGTAAGAAATTGAGCGACACAGTGATCCACCTCAAGCCATATCCTCGACAATCGTTCGCGAACAGATGGAAAGAATTGGTAAAGATGGCGCCCCTTGGATGATTCATCCCAGCGTTGTTGCCATTCGTCTATGAGGTCATTATAGACATCGGGCTGCTGTTGAAGCAATCTTGTAATTTTACCGCGATCCCGCGCGCCCAAAAAATCGCATTCCATGTTTTGTTGTCTTGAATAGTACATGGCTGCACGTCTCTGCACCTCGAGATCGACCGGAAGCACACCCGCCAACACCGGCAAAGCCTCAGTGCTAACCGTCCTATATGCCTTACACAAGAATATCAGTGCAAGTCGTTGGCCTTGTAACAGTTTGCGACGGACAGCGCCTACGGTCGCCCTATCGGCCCATACAGGTGCACCATAGCACATAGAACCTAAATAAGTAGCTCCGTATATGATCTTTGTATTAAATGATAGACCCCATGTCGCAGTTGATATTCTTGTCAATGCACAGAAACTGTTTTTAGACTTTTCATTAACTATTTTAATATGTTCGATAAATGAAAAGTTTCTTTCTAAAACTAATCCTAGGTAACACACTGAGGTTTTATTTTTTACACTAACATTGTTAAATCTAATGCGGTCTAATGCGGCGGTGATTTGAGGTTACCTTTTAAAAGTAGCTGGAAGGTTTTGTTGGGTGCAAAAGTTAAGCGATTACGTTCACCCCATTGAGATATCAAGTTCAAACATCTATTGGCTGATCTCTCAAGTCCTGCCCTAGTATCAGATTCCACCAGTAATAAGCCGTCATCAGCATACGCGTTCAGAATACATCCGGATGGTATTGGTATCGCAAGAAAATCGTCGAAGCCGATATTCCACAAGTATGGACCTATCCCTGATCCCTGAGGACATCCCATTGTAAGCGCCTTCGACACAGAATGATGACCAAGTCTTAGTTTGGTTGTACCTTGTGAAAAGTACGAAGAGATAAGGGAATAAATATTTTTAAAGCACCCTCGTGATTTTAATTTCAGCAACAGCATGGGCCACCATGCGTTGTCGAAGGCGCCAGATATATCTAAGAAAATATCCAGCACGTATTGAAATTTTGACTCTGTGACAAACTTTCTAACCGATATAACAGCGTCAGTTGTCGATTTACCCAACGTAAATCCAAATTGTCTATTATGAAATTTGACTCCACCTGGCAGAAGCCGGGGCACTACAAGACGTTCTAAAAGCTTTCCTAACGATGGTAACAATGTGATTGGTCGGGAGGATTTAGGATCATCCGGTGGCTTGTCGCCACTTTTTGGTATTATACGAATATTACCGCACCGCCATGTACGAGGAAATATTCCTTCAGCAATGCAACGTTTAAAGACAGTGAAAATCGTGTCACCCGAAAGTTTACAAGCTTCTTTTATCATTTTGTTACATATTTTATCATCGCCCGAAGCCTTGTTTAGCGGCAAGGATCGAATGATACCGAGAAATTCGTCTGAAGATGGTAAATCAGACATTGGAGACAGTGGTGGTTCGATGGCCCACTGCCTGATCTGTCGGTGATGATCAGTGTCGTTTTCCGGCCGATCGTCAGGTACAAGTGATTCTAAAAGATATTCTGCTGTTTGTTCTACTCCTGTGGTATATCTGTTATTAATTTTGATGTTCTGTATGTATGCAAGGTCGATTGATCTATTTGCCTTAAATTCGTGATACAAAGGTGACCACGGGCCCTCTCTATCGAGTTTATCAACAAGTTTATGAATTAAGTTTCCCTTGGATTTTTCCACAGCAGCTCTGTAGTGGGACCTGGCAACTCTAAGAGCAATGAGAGCATTATTGTACAAATCTCCTGTTACGTTATGTTTTTTAATAGTGTTTAACTTTCTACGAGCTTTCCGGTAGCTTCTACGTAGGTCGGCTAATCTATCATTCCACCAATCACATCTACGAGTGTTAGTGATAGATCCGCGACCAATAGATACATCAGCGCAGTATGTGAAAATTTCTGATAGTAATTCTGCGCTTTCCTCAGCTGATAAACTACTGCGACTGAAGTCTTTGGTATGATTTGCAAAGAGTGAACCAAACAAAGCCCAGTTCGCACCTTTAGTTTTATATCTAAAATTATAGGGAGCCCTTTGTGGATCCTGTGCAACCCTTGGTATGAATTCGTACACGATCAAGCGGTGATCACTACAGGATGCGTCCGGAAGGACACGCCATCCGGATATCAAGACGTCGCCGCGCGTAAGCGTCACGTCAATAGAAGACTCACCCATTGGGTTGCAAAAAGTTGGTGGTGCATCGGGGGTATTGTGAATAATAAGATTCATTTCCGCAATGAAATCTTCAACCGCACAACGTCGAACCGTGTCGGTTGAACGCAACTTGCCATACCATACTGAAGATGACGCATTGACATCAGCGCCAATGATAATTTGATGTCCCACGAGGAACTGCAAGACGTAACGTAAGTGATGTAAGTGAGGGTCAATAGGATGTGAATATTGAAAATAGCAGCTCGCTACGTAAACCTTACAGGTAGAGGATGAGATCTCAGCAACGGCGCAGTGTGACGTCATAAGATTACGCAAAGATGTTACCGTAAAATTAGAACTTGCAACATATATCCCAGCCTGCGAACGGCAGTCAAGCTGTACTACATTACGACGCAAGCGAGCGCTCTGATATTGTTCTTGTATAAGGACAATGTCTAACTTTTGTTCTAAAATAAACGGTCTAATTCTGATGTAGCTATTTTATAGTTATGAAAATTTAACTGGCCTATCGAAATATTATCCATCACTTAGTAAGTTACTCTATAAACTTTTTTTTTTTTTTAATTAAACTATTCAGTAATTGGTATTTAATATTAGCTGTTCCAGTTTTAATTTGTATGTGGCACAGTCGTGTGAGCCGCATCGATGGTCAGATGGTTTTTTGTACCGCTTACACTGTGCGCACGTGGGCTTAAAATCTGGTGTGTCTTTATCTGGACAAGCTCGTGTTTCGTGTGCGGCGGCGCAATTAGCACAAGTAGGGGTTTTAATGGTGCAAAACTTTTGTACATGACCGAATTGCTGACAATTTAAGCAACGGACTACTTCTATATCGTCTATGAATCTACATGTGGCCCAGTCTATATAAAGTTTATCTTTTGTGTTGGCTAGATGTTTCCTAACTGCTGCCTCTAATTCTAAGCCTATCCATTGACGCCCATTTTCTAGTTTACGATGCCTAACAATTTTGGTTGACTTAATAAAATCGTTCTCACTTAATTTTAATTCGTCCTTGATATTCTGACGGTATAAGGCTGTTAGGAAGGCAAGATCTTCCATAGAACCGGGTACGTCTTTTACAATTATGCGGGGCTTTCGGCCTTTCGGTTTTTCTAATCGTAACCCTACGGATTTAATGGCGTCTACAGATTCCAGTTTCTTAAGCTGCCGTTCGTTAGCTACACGTAACACGACGCCTGCCTTAGAGATTTTTTTTTTAACGCCTACAATTTGGAAACCCTCATCGCTCGGTTTAATAGCCTTCAGCTTGTTTCGTTGCTGACGAGGTCGCATAGTCCGCTAAGCGTTCCGTAGTGGGATAGGCAATAACACAAGGCCTAGGAACTCGCGCTTCAGTAGATACCGGGCACGGGGCAAATTTAGGTGGTAAGCGAAGCTTAAGTTTGTCCGCGTACGTTAAACTCGTTTGTTGATTTGCGATACCCTCCATTTGTCGCTCAAAATTCGCTAACTTCGTTTCGTTGCTAAAGGATTTTATTGCTAACAGGGATACGATACCGGTAATTCGTTGAGTAATATCCATAATCGCCGTTTTATTACCTACATTCATCCGAGATCCCTGATCATTAACTAATTCATTAATTTTTGCCAAATAATCAGTGGCCTGTGATACTAAGTCACAGTAGTTGTACTCCCCACAGTTATCACGACCGGTAGGAGACGAAACATTACCACTTAAGTCCGAATTAATAATGCGCCTACGGCTACTGTCTTCCGGCGAGAAATCCGTAGGTGACATTTCGATAAATGTCCTTTTCCCGGTTGGTGTTAGAAATTCACTTGTACCGCCGGGGTCCGGCAACTCGCTAACGACCGACATAGCCAAACAAAGACACACCAAACAACAATTTCAAAAGGAACAAGTTTAAAAATAAATAACACGTAGAGAAAAATCAATATAAACAAAGGATACCTCCTACCCACTTTTAGAAAGAAAATAAATTTACTCACCAATAGTCGTAATAAAATAATTCAGCACTATATTACTGTTTAAAAACAATAAAAACTTACTGACTTTCTTTAAAACACTATACACAACCTTTAGCCGCCCGCAAGCCGGAAACTAGTCGCAGAAAAACAGAAAACAATATTTAAATTGTTAGCACATGAAGTCACACGATAGTCGCACGGTGCCGCGAAGGGAAGTCAATAAGTTGTGTGTATTTGTAATATTTGGTTTCTAGTGATTACTTGTTTCATTTTAAGTTACCAAAAATTTTTGCAGTGTTAAATTATTAAATTCCCGTGTAGAAAGACTCAACACAATGACTAAATATACTTTGTCTGGTGCGGTTTTGATATTATTTGGGCACAAAGGAATGGCACAATATTTATAATAAGTTTTTATTGGCTTTTCCATGGTAATAAGTTAATTTTTATCACTCACTTTTTTAACTTTCAGAAACTTTGTGAACTTCACTTCGTTGTTGACATCGAATTCGTCTGAAAGTGTAATCTGATGTCACAAAAAAAGCGCACCAAAATGGACGTGTTCAAATTGCCCCAAAATGATAGTGATTTTAATAAAAAATTTTTTGCTTAACGGTTTATATTTCGGATGTGTTATATTTATTTTTGGTAATGTGATAACTAGTAGAATCGTTTAAAAAATAAAAACATGCATATTCCCTATTGATTACATCAAAGTCACCTCTTACATGCACCGCCTACTACAGCGGGTGTATCAGAAACAGACACGTGAATGCTATTATGCAAGATAACACTAAAATAAATAAGCTTGTTTACGTGTTTATTTTTTATTGAATTAGATTACTTAATTATATGTACTACAAGAACCACCATTAACCTTTCATTCTACATTTCTAAGTTCATTGCGTCCACCTTGTTGATCTCGTTTTCATCTTGTAGTAGGAAAGATTTTGTTATTTCTTTATCAGTCTGTCTTCTAGCATTTCCCAATCCAACTCTACTGTACAGCGTACCCACCAATTAAATTTGAATTTCTTATGGAATTGGAGCCGCGACTCGAGCTTGATGAATTTTAGTCTTTTGGAAGGCATCTCACGATTTCATCTTCTGCTTTTGACAAAGCATACATTTTGATAGCTTATAGCGGAGCAGCTGGGTGGACGAAGTGTGGCCTTTGGCAGTCTTGGGGTCCGCTCGGAGGCGCCGGCGCAGCTTCATTTCGAGGCTACTCCAACCCGATAGTGCATTGTTTGCTTCCGCCCGATGCACACCCCGCGCTTGTTCGCTTTAATATTTACCTAGCTAGTACCTCGTGTTATCAGTGATAAAACGTATTTATTTTTGTTTTCGTATTCTTTCTAAACTGTGATCTATTCTAGCTAAACTATTGTGCCTTTCTATGTCTTTTGTGCGTGTCTAAGCTTCTCCTCTCTCTGTGGGTAACTGTTATAGTTTGTAATAGAAAAAGTGGCCGTAAATAAACTATTGTACGTTTGTGTTACAAGTTCGTGTTTAATTTAGTATACCCCGTGGACGTTACGCCTACAAGCTCTTACGTGTTTGTAGAGTTCTGAAGGTCTTTTTAATTTCATTCCAAAGTTATTCGAGCCCCTGTCTAACGTTGACGTGTCTGCAGATGTTGCTAGCCCACGTACTTGTACATAATTCAATTAAAACATCTATATATTAAATATGATGAAATATGAAACATGTTTGTTTTTAATATATATATATCGTCCCCGTAGTTGGAAAATTAAATAAGTCCGGTTTTGGTGATATTGACTTTTCCCTATTTTCAAAACACCTAAAACATGCCGCATATTTGAGCCTTACAGGCATTTTCGTATCTTATTCTATTCCAAAAATATAGCAATTTTTGTCGGACAGATGGAATAATAAATATCTTCAGACTAACACTATTTTTTTGAAGGAAAAATAAATAACTCAGTAAATAAATCAATAACTGTGGTCAATGATAAGTTAAATGGCAAATGAATTAAATAACATATCTATTTTAAGTTTTTCATAGTTTTACTTACTTAAGTATGTCTTTTGTAATTAGGTCTCTGATTTTAGAGCCTTATTGTTATTTTTTGGGTTTAAATTATTTTCTGTTTTGATTTGAAAGAATACTTTAAGTTAATTTGTTTCCTCTTGTTATAATTGCTATAATTTTGTTTATTTTTTTAAGTTTGTGGCAAGATAAATATCTGTTTACAATACCCTTTTTTTAAATTTTATTGTACTTTTATATTTCTTCCAAAATATAACTTTATTAATATCATAATACAGCTTTTATTTTATATGAGACCAATAATAGTTAAAAATATCAAAATAATGTAAAATACAAAGCCACTAAGTTTTACATTTAAAAATATTTTGAGTTTGATAAATTCAATAACTGCATTTATTTCACCAAATTTTACTCTACCAAATGGATTTAGCTTGTGGGAAAACTAAATAAATAGCCGAAATAAGTAGCTAATTTTAGTTACGTTATAAATAATAGTTGTGGCAAAATTAAACAACTTGATTTTTTATGTTTTATTTTGTTATAGTTAAAGATAGAGTTCAGTTTGTTAAAGCAAAATATAAAAGGTAATCAGGTCCACAAAATATAAAATTACCGACGGTAAAATTGTCTCACATTTTTTAACAAATGTACATTAACTGAAAAACAATCACTGAATCGCGTTTATCTCAGAACTACAAAATCATAGTTATTTAATTTTCCAACTACGGGGACGATATGTGAGTAGTATGAAACGGATACTATATAGAAAAAATAATCTTTCATGTTCGCATAACACTTTTCAGAGTCGTTGAGTATGGGATAACAAAATGTTTATTTACTTACTTATGAAAGGTGGTTCCAGTGTTTTTCATATCTGAATTTCAGTTCAGTCATCATTTTCTTTTTTAAATCAAATAAAACACAATAATAAGCACAATCGAAATTTTCCGTGACACAACCGCTCAACACGAGTGTGACGGCGAACTGCTGCGCCGCGCTGGTGCATATTTTACGCCCCGCTCGCCGCGGCTTATATTTAGTGGAACCATGTTATACGATTAGTTACGCTTCTAGAGAAATTATTATTCGTAGTGATTTCAAATGTGATTTGTTTTTACAATTTGGCGGCAGTTTAAATAGTCGTGCATTGGAATAGAGAAAATTTTCCCTCAATGATTTTTTACGAATTTTAACAACAACAATGTTACGCTAGACTTCGATTACAAAGCCTGTATATTTCTTTCAAAGTAAAGAAGTGCAAAAAGTAAAGAACTGCAGTCAGTCAGTCATTGTCTACAAGTTTTCCTCGAAAATCTTAGACAGCAGCACCCAAGAAACAGGATCCTCTTCATCTCTCCAGCTCACTCGGGCAGACTAACGGATATTTGTCTACCGAAGGTGTGGATCTAGTGAGTCATCCTCTTACAGTCCTGACCTAGCATCTTGTAACTTTTATTTGTTTCCAAGAGATAAACTTAGAGAAATTAGTTTTGACCTTGAAGATGGCTGCGTTTGAAAAAGGGGTGGAAGAGATCCCTAAAGAAGAGACTCACTGCTTCAGTCATATTACAGTGAGTCTGTTTATATAAATTCAATCTAACACCACACAACTTACCACTTTCTATCACACTCCCACACGTAATCTGCTCTCTGGGCCTCCAACTTCTCCTCCTTTTCCTTCTTAACTCTGTTAGCGGCGATCTGTTTCAGCAGCTCCTGAGAGTACAGCTTCGCTTTCTCTCGCTTTTTGAGTTCTTTCTCGCGCTCCTCAGCCATGTCGGCAGCCATTTTTGCCTCGTTCTATTACAATGATATTTGTGTTATTACTAGCTGGTATGGTAATTTAAAAAGCACTGCCTTGGCGATACGCGACTTCAGTCCATGAGGCCTTGGGTTCGATTCCCGGACCGGGCAAATTTAATAGGGGTTTTCTGAGAGGAAAAATAACCTCAGTTACGAAAAGATGTGTCAGAAAATATATTACGTTTTTTTGAGGAAATGATTTATTTACTTTTCCAAATGTTGAGTTATTTACAATTAGAGACAGTGTGGTCGAAAATGAGCCAACCCCACATTTACTTAAATATTTCTAAAAATATTTATTTATTCCCATCATCATCATCAACAGCCTTTAACAGTCCACTGCTGGATATAGGCCTCTTCTTAGAAAGGAGGTTTTGGCCTACTATACCATGCTGACCAGACTGGTTGGTATAGGTTTGTGTCAAGTCTTCCTTCGCTCTGCAGTGCTATTGTCCTGCGTAGTTTGCTCCCTTAGTCGGCTCTTACGACACCCACGGGATGAATAGGGGTGGTGACACTCTGTATTTTTAATCCGTCACCACACGGGCAAAACAATCAGGACAACGCATTAATAAATTCCTATTATTCCTATCACACCATCATTCACATTCACATTCATATTCATCACCTTGACCTACAATATAAACCAGAGATTCACAAAGTGGTCGATATTGGTTTCCCAGGAGTAGACATAAACAAAAACTGAATTTGGTAGTCGACGAAGTAGTAGATAATTAGAAGTAATTTCTCTAAAATATTTATGTATTTAGAGATATATAAGTATATTTCTGTCAGTCTGGTTACCATAGTACAGGCTCTGCTTAGTTTGGGATCAGACGGCCGTGTGTGACATCTGTGAGTTTATTATTTTTATTGAACTACGATTGTCATAAATCTCAGGCTTGGGTAACCTAATGCTTTAATTCTTAACTTTACCTGCTACATCCTGATGACCCAGACGATATGTACAGACATGAAAGTATATGGTACACAAATATACATTTTTTATAGCACAGTTAAAAGGACCACTCACCTGATAATGACTACATGGTCATGGACCTATAGATTAAGAGACATATGTGCGTCGCCGCCCTTTAAGTGGAGGGAGGGGGGGCATTTGGCGCCGGCAACTCAATAGTCACAAGAGAGTGACATTTTCATGGGCAAAAAAGGGGCTATTTTAACCCCCGGCGGAAAACGAGGGGTGTTATAAGTTTAACCTGTGTATGTCTGTCTGTCTGTCTGTGGCATCATAGCTCCCGAACGGATGTACCCATTACAAGGCGGTTTTTTTTTCCCGACGAGATCGAGATGGTTTTTGGCTATAAACTTTTGAAAATCATCAGCTCACTTCCTTGGTGATGAAGGGAACTCACTAAAATCCAAAGGTCCGATTGATCTGAAATTTGGTATACTGCTACTATGATGGTAGTCCTACGACATGGTAAACTGGAACTTGCTGCTGCATCAAGTAATCTGCGGGATAGCCAACTCTTCAGAAAATTACAACATATATACCATATTTTGGCTGACTGGAACAGTCTCAATGAGCAGTTGTTTTTTTTTAAAGTTTTTTTTTGTGTCGGGGTTTTTTTTAATGATGCTGTTATCTTATATGACGTAACAAAACGAAACTAACTTATGTCAGTTGCGTTTTGTGATAAGAAATGGTTGAAATTTTTTTTAAATCCAATAACCCATACCTCCTTTCTAAACTTAACTTCCTTCTCCTTCATATCTGCTGCAACTTTCTTCTTGTTCTCCATCTGTGCGGTGAGAGCGTCCATGGTGTCCTTCCGGACCCTCTCCTGCTTCTCCTTCGCCAAGATGTCGTCCTGCACATTCTTCTCGAGCAGCTCTTGTTCTTGAAGTAGCTTGATTAAATTTATTCTTTCTAAGCGAGCGGCCTGTAAAAATAAGGTTATTATGATTTTTATTCATTTTAAATGGATAAATAAAGACCTATTCCATGGATTCACCGTGCGGATGCCGGGTCCAACGCGTAATAGATGGGGGCAACACAACAAACAACAAACTTACTTCGTCAGCCATTATTTTAGCCGCCACTTTGTCGTTTAACTCCTCTTTTATCTTTTGTTTGCGTTCTCTCTCTGCTATGCTGAAAATATTAACAATAATATTATTTAAAAATACTATAACAATAAGGGTTTTCTAAAATGTACCACGTGAGATGGCAGCACTGTAGCGTCAGGTCCAACCACCTGTCAAAACACATACACGATTTGTATTATTCGATCATTTTTTTGGTTTATTCATTCTTAAAAACGTTACAAAAGGAATACTGATTTCTAAAATGCCACAGTGTTGTGTAGTGCCTATGTGTGCAAATAAAACTTTTGCGCCTCTCTTTTTGAGCTCAATCTTCAGTTCGGCAACCTTTCTCTGGCCGTAATCTATAATAAACTCAATAACACTTCCAAATTCATAGAATTTCACTAAAATATTATACGTTCGGTAAGAATCTGTGCTATCTGACAGCTGTTTGGACCTGACGCATACGAAGCGCCGTCTGGTGGCAGAAAAAGTATCGAAGACCCTCATTCACACATACAATTCTTACGTTACTTAGACAGTACCAAAACATGAGAATTGACAGAGTCAATTCTTAGTCTTCTAGGATTTAATTACTCAAATTTAAATTAAAAATTTAAATTTTGATTAGAATTTTTTAAGTCCTGTTTTTATAACTGCAAACTGTCTTTTAATAGACTTTTACACCACGACAAGTGGCAAAATATACTGGATAGGGGTCCAGTATATTTAAGCGATATATATTTTTTGCAAAGAATTTTTGCGATAAAGTATGTTAAAAGGGCTACATAAGCCCTTTTAACATACTTTATCGCAAAAATTCTTTGCAACATTTCTGTTTAAACAGGTGTAAAAAGACTTTTTTAACAATGCAGTTCAAGTATCTGTGCTAATTAACCTATATGTAATTTAAAAACCATCTAACACAGCAACACTCCTATCGCCAAGCATTTTCAATTGTTCTTCAATTTCCTTCTCTTCTAAAATTACCATCTTCTTTTGCTTCTCTCTCCAGGCTTCCCGAGCCTTTTGGAACGTCACCATTTCCTTTCGCGTCTTCTCCGTTAAGTCTTTCTTCTGTTTTAGTTCTCTGAAATTAAAAAAAAAATCATATAAATGATAATGTAATGATCCAGGCAAGCCAAAAACCATGCTTGACATACTGTAACTCATACACATACACAGTTGATGTTTAGAAGTTGTATGTGTATATTATATCGACAAAAATTTAATCGCACAATACAGCAGCTGTGTTTAATACTTCATATGGATTGCGTTCCATAGATACTAACAGATAGGTATACAATTAAGGAGGGGACCCTGGTGTCCTAAAACACAGGCTCTGAGCCTAGCTTAGGCACCAGTCTACCACAGTATAAAATTTTTGTAATAATTTTTATACAGGCTAAGTTATAGATGGCGCTATGCATGTATTCGTTATATATGGTTGTCGGCACAATATAAGTGGCCTATTGTCATCATCATCACAGCCAAAATACTTCCAGTGCTGGACACAGGCCTTTTTTTTTTGTTTTTTAACATGTGGAAATCCAACCGGTCTGGTGTCCTGCCACTCCTAATTACATGATATATATAATATAGCATTATATATTCTATGATATATATTTACTAACATGACTTTTAGAAAATGGCAGGCATCATGTTAAAATGTATGTAAAATATAATAACATTTTCACACACACGGCTGTCTGATCCCAAACTACGCAGAGCCTGTACCATGGTAACCAGACTGCTGATAAACATACTTATATATTTCTAAATACATACATATTATAGATAAATTACACATAGACACAGAGAAATGGTCTTGCTCATTACACGATTATTTGTCCTGGGTGGGAATCAAACCCATGATCTCTGGCATAGCAGTCAGGGTCACTAACCACTAGACCAACAGGCCAGTCGAATAATGTGTGCAAAAAATCTAAAAAATTGCAGATCACACTAGCGCTCATCCTCTTGGTTTTCAGTACTACATCCTACCTTTGATCCTCATCTGCTAATGTCCGCATAACTTCCTCTAACATTTTCTTCTCAATAAGCGTCTCTTCATACTGGCACTGCTTTTGTAGCTGCCTGTTAACAAGCTGCTGCTGAAGCTCCTTGCAGTACTGTGTGGTTTGTTCCATCTTTTCCCGATCCTCTTTCTCTTTGGCTTCGAAATCATTATAGAGTGCTTTTAGGAGGTAATCATTGGCTTGGTTTGCTTCAGCCTAGAACATAGAACAAGAAGGCGTTTTAGGTAAGATTATAATAAAAAAATTAGGCTTTACAGAGGGAACATGTGCTTTATTTCCTTCGTTTGAAATACTTGTTTTTATAAAATTCTACTTGGATATAATAGTCTAATTTATATGTAAAAAGGGTTGATTTGGTTTGTGTATGATACAAAAACTCAAAAAGTTGTGCACCTTTTGATCTCAAATTTGCCTGTTCCTCATTCCACATCAAGGCAACCACTGCAAAAAGAGTGGCAGGGTAGAAAGCCCTCTAAGAGATCACATTACAACCCTTAATGATTTGCCATAATCTATCGCCATTACCGGTAAAACCCATAGAAACCATTAATATAAATAAAACTATGTGAAATGATTAGTAGATAATGGCAATTAGAAAGCCAGATACCAAGATAAATACATAAACATAATATACCTTTTCCTGTAGCTTTTTATACTGGTTGTGCAAAATCTGTTGCTGCAGATCTCTGCACACATAACCAGCTTGCAACTTCTTCTCAAGCACTCTAAGGCTCGGGTCTCTCTGCCGCAAATAGTGTCTACGAGCCAGATTGCATATCTCTTCATGTCTGACTTTTTCTATCTCCACACCGAGGGCAGCTTCCTTTGCTGCTCTCGCATTTACTATTGCTGCATGATCTGTTCTCTGGAATCAAACAAGCAAAACGGATAGTCGTAAAGGACTGATTGAAGCATAAAACAGTCCTAGTGACATTTTACAAGCTGCAATAGTCTCAATAGCTACAAAAAGCAATAGTCTGTTTTATGGTCTGGCACTTATTTATAATAATTGTTGCACATTTATATTATAGTATAAATTAAACTAAAATAAAATTGTAGGTACTCAGTGTTTGTTTTATTCTTCTCTCACAGAAATGTTTTTAACAGTAATTTTACTTTAATAGCACAATATTATTTTTCTCTTTTTACACACATTCTCTCACAAAAGGAAGGAAGTTAATCAAGAATGACTACTTATTAAACTAGCTTAAGGTTGCCCTAAATAAAACTTTTATTTTATTGTTTTCTCAATAATAATAATATAACATCCTCACATGCAGCTGTCTGATCTCAAACTAGGCAGAGCCTGCACTATGGCAACCAGGCTTCTGATAAACATACTTGTTTTCTTAAATACAGATAGGATATAAATTAATTACACCTAGACACAGAACAGGTGATCATGCTGCTCACACAGTCACAGTCCACTGCTGGACATAGGCCTCTCCCATTGCACGCCACTTAGATCGATTTTGGGCTTCAATTACTCGTGCTGGGTTTAAATCAAACCCACAAGCAGTTTAGCAATCAGGGCCACTTACCACTAGACCAACAGACCTGTCCAATCATTACTAAGAATGTCTCATTGAGTAGTAAGAAATTAAAAACAATGCAGTTGCTTAAGACTCATAATGAAAAATTCTCTGATACTAATGCGTACACTGTACAGTGCTTACCGGTGACAGCACTTTACAGTGTAGTGGCATGTCAGGGGTTAATGGAAGTCAAGGGGTAGAATACAAGGTGGTCCGACGACCTGGTGAAGCTCGCGGGAAGCCGTTGGATGGGGGCAGCACAGGGCCGGTTGTTGTGGAGAGCCATGGGTCAGGCCTATGTCCAGCAGTCTTTCGGCTGAAATGATGATGAAGAGGGAGAATAAAATTGGGATGATAAAATTCGGATACCTCCTGAAATTCCTTCTCTGTCTGAGCCTCCTGTTGAATCAGGGCAAGGCAGCGGCCCATTCTTCCACTTTCCATGCGGCTGTTCAGCCATTGGATGTCCAGGGCTCGTTGGAAAAGCTCCAATTCCTTACGACGAGCAGTGACGAACGCATTTCTCTGAAGCTCCGTTTTCCCTTCCTACAGACATAAAATTACGATGTTCTGTGATTATACTTATTTATATCTTATAAACCGTGAATAAGGGCAATTTAAAATTAACTAACCATGATAAATATAAAAGCAACTAGTCGATAGTTCTTATAAAATAAAGGGCCAATAATCACAATATTTTTAAAAAGCCTCCGTATTCTCCGTAATTTAAATTTTGTTTACGGAACTAAAGATACAAAACATCAAATCAATCAGTCAGGGTGTTACCAGCAACTAAAAATAATTAAAATGTAATTATAATTTAAAAAAAACGAACGAATCTACGTATCATATTTATGACAATCAAATCAGACCGATTTTTAAGACAATTCGTTACTAATTAGCTTTATTCCATAACTACAATCTTTTATTTATAAAGTTTAAATAGACTGGGTCAGAATAGGGTATGTTTGAGGTTATTTTATGCACCTTTTTAAGGTTCTTTCTATAGGTAATACGCTCATAGGTCCACTACCACTAGTAAATGTAAACATTATCCATAGAGTCCTCCATAAAGTAGAGAATAAAACTTTGTAATGTCACATTTTTTTACTTCCATTTAATAATTTTAGGATCATATTTTAAATTAATTTCATTAAATATTATTTAAAACAAAGAGCTGACATGAAATCGTTTACATTTCGTCGTTTATGTAGCGCCCTCTATGTCTTGAATAAAGCAACCGTCATTAGTGTGTGAAATCTTACCTATAGAATGAGGCGCTAGGGTGACAATATACTCTCATTCGCGGCAGTATTTTACGGGACGGCAGCACGCATTTGGATTTTGACGTGTGACAGCAAACAGCTGCAGCCAAATTCGGTTGCAAATTGATAGTGTATCAAATAAAGACATTTTGGAATGAAACAGTGATAGAAATGGCTGAAAGTAAAGGTGCGCTAATCGCGAAAACAGTGCAAAAACATGCCGGACGTGCGAAGGAAAAGGTATTTATTGTTTTTTTCTTATTACGTGTGTGGAGTGTTATAGTAGATTGGTGACTTTTTAATGTATTTATTTTGCGATGGTGTTGTGAAAGTATATTTTTGAGAAGATCGGCGGCACGCCACTGTATATTTCTTGCCGCTGTGCCAACTCTAGCCGGTTTACTTCTGCATCGTATTTCACCTGTTGCTTGACCGCGATGCTTTGCAGGAGCACCTGTGTTTCCTTATATTGTTTACTTACGTACACAGCTGAGTATCGTCTCGTGATTATAGACTTAGGCAGTATTACCGCACAACCAGTATTATTATCATTTCCAGGGTGTTTAATTTTCTATTTATAGTACACAGCCAATGTGATCATTTTGGATCCAACAGTTAAAGTACTTAGTTTAGTTTGCAAACTGCCCTAGTATCGATTGGTCGTCGTAAAATGAATGAGGTATTAAATTATACTAAATAAATTCTGGGGAATTGAGAGCATTTTAAAAATAACACGGTAGGTAGAGAGCAGACGGAGACAGCCGATCTATCGTGCCGGTTTCTCAAAAATAATGTAGATATTTCAAACCATCTATTTTTATATGGACTGTCTCACTGTCTGTGGTTCTGTGAATTATAATTGTTGCTTACGTATCATTTGGTTGATAAAGATTGATTGTACTAAATGTTATATTCAAAATTTATTTTACCTATATAATTATTTACAACCTTTTATTAGAATCAAATTTATGCAGTTTTAGTCATGTAAGTTGTTAAAAAGTAAAAGCAAAAAATCTGGTAGTTATTTTCTAAATTCAAAGATTTAAATTACTCACTTTCTGTAAATTACTCGACCACTTTCATTTAATAAAAATTCGACACATGGTTTACCCACTTACCTAGAAAAAACTTGCTTTGACAAGCTTCGGCTGTTGACCTATACTGGCAACAGGCCCACTGCAATGATACTATGCCAACCGTTGGACATTTAGATTTTGACTCAAGTGTTTTTGGACGCAAATAGGGCACCTAACTATGGGTAAACACTTTGCATGTTAAGGTAATTAGTGATTTTTTACTTAACAATACAACATAAAATTCATACTAAATCATTGAATTTATAATTACAAGTAAAAAAAAATGGTATAATCTATTTGTATGTTGAAATACCAGCTATTTACTAAATTTATATATATGTTCGCACAATACCTATACTATCTATACAAGTTTTAAAGTTTTTGTCTATCTTTCGGACTGTTTATGCCTGCTTATCTCTGAAAATCTTATTAGATTTTCAAGGCAATTTCAATAGTACATAACTTATGTAAATAAAAATTAACATAAGACCACCTTTAATCTACGTAAAAGAATTCAAGTTGGATGCAAAATAATAGCTAGTCTTAACAATAATTGTAGAGATATTGTTAAAGAACAAAGAGCTGTACCTCAAATACAAATGGAATATTATTTTCATAATGGTGGTTTATGATAATCTAATGTAAAATACTTGACAAACTAAACATTTTCGATTTGATTTAGGTTATGTTATTATTATCATATTTTCTAGATTTATTTCTCTTAAAAAGCAACTTCATTGCTAGAACCTAGCTGGAAGCTAAGCTTAAACAATAGACTAATGTTTTACAATGCTAATTTAGTGTCTGTTTTAAGTTGAAGTCTGTATATAACATTGAAATCTTTATGTATTACAAATAAACTTCTTATAACATAAAAATACAAGATGCTAAACTGTTCTTTGTTTAAAATAATTAATATTATTTAATCAGTTTCTAGTCTATGTAGGTTTCTTTTTCAGAAACGAGTGTTGACCTATGTCTGATACTCAACCATTTTATGTACCTATTAATTTATCTATCATTAAGAGTCACTAAAGATGTCGAAGTCACCACAACCTCATAGAAAACCGATGTTAAGGAATTATTTTGTGACTTTTCAGTGAGTGATTGAGGTTACCAGAGTCCAAACTCTCCCCTGTACTTCCCCCTAATCCTGGAGGTTTGAGACTCGAAGTGCGACAAACGTACTTGTGACTCTTGAGTCGGTAGTCACTTACCATCAGATGACCCGTTTGCTCGTTTTTTCCTCTATGCCATAAAAATAACTATTATTTTCGAATTCTACTCGCCACTGACCGATCTAGTACTTTCAACACGATGAACGTCGTACCGTTTCATCAACAGCCTTTAATAATCCACTGCTGAACATTTACCTCTTCATAGAAAGGACAGACAGGTTGGTGTAGAGTTTGTTTCTAGTTTTCCTCCTTTTTACAGTGCTGTTGTTGTTCCCTTAGTCGGCTCTAACGACACCCACGGGATGAATAGGGGTGGTGACACTTTCTTAAACCGTCACCACACGGAACAGTCGTATCGTAACTTATATCTTATTAATTCATTTCACAAATTCAAAACGCCGTATATACTCACTCATCAATAATTATATGGAAAGTAACAATAATTAATCATACAGGCAATAAATATCTGAGTTCATTGCACTAACGAACGATTCATGGAGCTTCTGAGGTCATTGGTCGATAAATATGAAAATCTTGGGTCCTGTTTATGGTAATATATGTATGTATGTCGCAAATTGAGGAAAGTTGTGGCAAGCAAGGTCAAATTTCTAGCCCTAGTAGTGAACGTACGCGGTGAATTGTTGAGTCCGAGGTTGGGCCGAATATATTCTGTTTGTCTAGCAACGAGAAAGTATTCATCAACATTTTATTGTGCAGCAATAGTTTAAAAAAATATATTAACCTTTATGTGCTGTTATTTAAACTTGTCTGTATTTTGTAGGTACACGTACAATTTTGTATTTAAATTTAGACTCCTATCACCCTACAAAATACTGTACTTAGGATATTGTTTTTTTTTTATACGCGCATTTATTTGATGCAATTGTAACTAACTAACTATAACAAATCTTGGAAGATAATTTAACCTACTACTAATTGTCGTATTAAATTAAATTTTGTATCTGATGATGGAGCAAAGGGATGGATAGTGGAACTCTTTTTTTCTTCAAGCTCACGTTCATGTAACTTGTGTTGATACATCTAGTTTCCCACACCTGTTTTTATAAAGCCCTGTATATCATCAGTTGGTAAATCTCTAAATTGTACAAAAAAATGATACATTTCTACATAGAACCGAATTTAGTTTTTCATCAACAGCCTTTAATAGTCCACTGCTAATCGTAAGCCTCTCTTTACAAAGGATGTTTACCTTAATTTCGTTTATACTGTATTCAAAGTCGAAGTAAAATAATAGTAGAAACCATTGTTAATATTCATCCGAAACTTAATTTTACAACATATCTAAAAGCAAAACTGAGAAAACCCCAGAATTGGCCACTTGCGCATTCAGTTCTTCTATAACTTTATCCAATGTTTTATATATAAATAAAGGAAGACCAACGAGGTGGCCACTAGTTCCATATAAATGTGAAAAATGTCTATAAAAAAACTAAAGGAATGCTAAAACATGAACATGTTTTATAGTTTGGTTCCGTCGTAATATAATAATAATACATCACACGTCCCACACTCGGCCGTCTGATCCCAAACTAGACAGAGCCTGTGCTATGGTAACTAGACTGCTGATAAACATACTTATAATAATAATAATAGCCTTTTATTCAGACACAAAAATAATATTTACAAAATAATAATCTTAAGTTAACGCAACTGCCGAGTCGATGACATCGATAACTTCGTCTGTTTGGCAACTTTGGCAAAGGCCTCGTCCATTTCATTCCAAGATAAACACACTTACATATATATAAATATGTTTGGACTTTAAATAAGACTGCTATTAATTTGCAGCCCATAGCCAGTCCACCAGTGACCATGACGCAAAATTTGATCTAAATGTTTGGTAAAATATTATAGAGCCCAAACCTCAGAAATCCCTCAAGTGATTGTTAGCAGGTACTAAGGGGCAACCCATTGGTACCAGCTAGTTAATCCAATGCGTGAGCGCAAACTCAAAGCTCCATTATCAGACCAGTTCCAAGATACCAAGTACATATAAATTTTCATTTCACCATGACAATTTATCATCTCGCTATCCTTCCCTCAATTTAAGTTGGTTTTGGCGCAAAATGTGACATTAAAAAGATTTTAGCATGATTACCTTTTATTACCGTCCGCCTGCCTGACGACAAAACTCTTTGGGTATATAATCGTTTTCAAATAGGACAAAAGACTAAGGTAAATTAGGATAAGGAAAAAGGATAGGGTACGGGAGCTAGAGTTAGGGATGCCGAAAACGGGACTGAGTCTTTACTAGCTCATAAACGCCAAGGTCACATACCTCCAAAATTAGTGAGGCCATTAGGACAGAGACACTCAACTGGTGTTCAGTTCTATATGACCGTTGTTAGTATTTATTTATGTTAAAAGTCACGCCTAAAATGCATATAAATAGTTAGAAAGTTACAAGTGAAGCTAATAAGAGCGACTTGAAAATAAAGAGGAATTGTACATATCCTATAGCATGTTAACGTGAATATGTAATGCCGATTTACACATCTAAAGTGCATAAGAATGGCGAAAGATAAAAACCATTCATTCAAAGCATATTAGGATTTTGAAACGATTTTATCTTTCTGTAGCAGGGGAATAAAATCTACCAAAGCAATTGATTGATAAATCTAAAAGTGAACTCAAATTCGCAAATAAATATTGTGTAAGCATTACAAGTTTTCTAGAGACAGGCAAAGCAGGCGATACGTCTGTTTCTCTCCGTCTCGTTGGAGTCATAAAAAAGTTTGACAGGCCGCAATCTATTATCAAATTTCACCAATTCAACAAAATCGATTTAAACTGATCTTTGAACTTACTCAACTGATCGAAATGAAACGAGTTCATTGATTTCGATAGTTTGAATGGTGACCTAACATCATTCAATATCATTTTTTATTATATTACCTGTACAACAATAACAATTCTATTAGAATAGGTTTCGCCATTTTATCTCTGACGCCATGAAAAAATCTAA